GAGTTATCTGTCTTTGAGATGGACACTGTCTATTCTCCGCATGTGCCCTTTTCTCCTAAACTTACTATTATTTCGCAACTTTTACGGCGTCTTTCTTTTATCTCATTTTTTAGATGAATCAAGAATGGCAGCTCGAGAAAATTTAACAAATCAGGTGGGCCTTGTTATGATCTAAATGAAGCTAATGTAACTATTCTGCAATTCCAGGAAACTTTATTAAATTTAAATGTCATTATTTTCATTTCGTCTCCCTATGGATATTCTATCTTGACTTTTGTGGATAAATGTTTCCTTCCTTTGTAAGGTTTCCTCGATTAGCACAATTATGAAAAAAACAAGCTGTTGTTATTAACATGTAATAGTGCTCACTATTGAAGGCTATAATATTGTGATTGATTGTTATTTTGCTCTATTTCTCTACTAATTTCGAAAACTCATTTAAACCGATTATGGCCAGACTTGGATATTTTCATCTTGTTTGTGAACTACTTAACACAATTCTTTTCAAATGTATCGTTTATTGAAACTTGTGTTTTCTTCCTTATAACTTAGCACAAAATCCGCAGAATAGGACTTACAACACGTCATGGAATGTTTGTAGAGGCCTTCTACGCTGATCGGCGAACTAAATACAATGCCGCCTTAAAATCTATTTCGAGTGATAACAAGGGCAACTTATTGGTCAGTTTAGAAAGTGGAATCAATCTTGTATGCCCACATCTATCTGGTCATTACTTACATCCTCCATTTTTTTACGTCCAGATCATATGCTGTGAAGGAAATGCTGGCTTTGTGGAAATTGGCACTCCAGTCTTACCTCTTGAACAAGGCTATTCGGTACTAGCCTGGAACCACGCTGGCTTTGGCGCAAGTGAAGTGAGTTATGTGTTAACGTCTGTTTGCCTTAGCTTTCCGAAAATCACATTGTTTCTAATTCTCTAATTAGTCGGATATGCTTTATAATCAAGTATCATATCGTTAGGTACTATCTTTTGAAACCTGATTTTAATTTTTCAAATTGTGGGTTCCTTTATATTTAATACTTTGAAGGTTGTTTCTGTAATTTATCTTGTCATTTTTATCGCAAGTTACTTATTTTATCACTTTTAAGACTGACTTCTTCATCTTATTCGTTTTGCCCAGAGTGTTTTCCTATTTTTATCCTTTTATTATTTACATTTATTCTCTCATCTTCACAGGGCTTGCCTTTCCCTGAGGAGGAAAGGGCTTCCATTGAAGTTGCCGTCTTGTTCGCCATTTACAAGTTACGCTTCAATCCAGCTGACATAAGGTTATTTGCTTGGTCCATTGGAGGCTATGCTGCCACCTGGGCCGCAATGAATTTTCCTGATATTGGCGGCCTGGTGAGTCTTGCCTTTCTAACCCCGATCTTTTGTATGGTTTACTTGTTTCATAGGTTAAGGCCAAATTAAATTCCGAGTAGCCGAGTAGTAAAAATTCGAGTCATCATTGGTAATTTAGGC